CATGATCTCGAGTTAGCTGCCATTGTTCACGCCTTGAAGATCTGGCGTCATTATTTGTACGGTGTGCCTTGTGAGATTTATACTGATCACCGAAGTTTTCAGCATCTGTTCAAGCAGAAGGACCTCAATTTGCGTCAGAGGAGATGGCTAGAGCTGCTGAAGGACTATGATATCACTATTTTGTATCACCCGGGCAAGGCCAATGTGGTGGCCGATGCTTCGAGCCGCCGGGCAGAGAGTTTGGGGAGTTTGGATTATTTACTAGCAGCAGAGAGGCCCATGGCGATGGATGTTCAGGCCTTAGCCAGCCAGTTTGTGAGATTGGATCTTTCGGAGCCCAGTCGGGTTCTAGCTTGCGTGGTCTCTCGGTCTTCCTTGTTTGATCGTATCCGGGAGCGTCAGTTTGATGACCCTCATTTGCTTGTACTCAAGGACATGGTTTTGCGTGGCGATGCCCGAGATGTGACTATTGTTGATGACGGGGTAGTGAGGATGCATGGTCGACTTTGTGTACCCAATGTTGATGGGCTTCGGGAGTTGATTCTAGAGGAGGCCCATAGTTCGCGGTATTCCATTCATCCGGGTGCCGCGAGGATGTATCAGGATTTGAGACAGCACTATTGGTAGAGGCGGATGAAGAAAGATATAGTTGGGTTTGTTGCTCGGTGCCTTAATTGTCAGCAGGTGAAGTATGAGCACCAGAGATCGGGTGGACTGCTTCAGCAGATAGAGATTCCGGAGTGGAAGTGGGAGCGGATCACCATGGACTTCGTAGTTGGGCTCCCACGGACTTTGAGGAAGTTCGATGCCATTTGGGTGATTGTGGATCGGCTGACCAAGTCCGCACATTTCATTCCTGTGAGTACTACCTATTCTTCGGAGCGGTTGGCGGAGATTTATATCCGGGAGATTGTTCGTCTGTATGGTATTCCAGTTTCCATCATTTCAGATATAGGTACTCAGTTCACATCGCGGTTCTGGAGAGCCGTACAGCATGAGTTAGGTACTCGAGTGGAGTTAAGCACAGCATTTCACCCTCAGACGGACGGACAGTCCGAGCGCACTATTCAGATTCTTGAGGATATGCTCCGTGCGTGTGTGATTGAGTTTGGAGGGTCTTGGGGTCAGTTCTTGCCATTGGCGGAGTTCGCCTACAACAACAGCTATCAGTCCAGCATTCAGATGGCACCGTATGAGGCTTTATATGGTAGGTGGTGTAGATCTCCGATGGGTTGGTTCGAGCTGGGTGAGGCTAGATTATTGGGCACAAACTTGGTACAGGATGCTTTGGAGAAGGTTAAGGTGATTCAGGATAGACTCCGCACAGCCTAGTCCAGACAGAAGAGTTACGCGGACCGGAAGGTTCGTGATGTTTCCTACATGGTTGGAGAGCAGGTTCTGCTTCGGGTTTCGCCTATGAAGGGCGTTATGAGATTTGGGAAGAAAGGGAAGTTAAGTCCGAGGTTTATTGCCCCTTTTGAGATATTGAGGAGTGTTGGGGAGGTTGCTTATGAGCTTGCCTTACCTCCCAGCTTGGCAGGAGTTCATCCGGTATTTCATGTTTCGATGCTCCGGAGGTATCACGGTGATCCGTCGCACGTGTTGGATTTCAGTTCAGTCCAGTTGGACAAGGATCTATCTTATGTTGAGGAGCTAGTGGCGATATTGGACAGGCAGATTCGAAAGCTGAGGTCAAAGAACATTGCATCTGTGAAGGTTCAGTGGAGGGGTCAGCCGGTCGAGGAGGCGACTTGGGAGACCGAGCAGGATATGCGCAGCCGTTACCCTCATCTTTTCACTACTTTAGGTATGTCTCTATGCTCGTTCGAGGACGAACGAATGTTTAAGTGTGGGAGGATGTAACGACCTGGCCGGTCGTTTTAAGAATTAACGCCCCGGTCCCCTATTAACTGCATTCCCCGTGTTTGTTTCTGCTATTGTGAGTTGCCGGGAAGATTTATTTGGAAATTCGGAGAGTTTTGGGACACTTAGTCCCTAAATGAGAGTTTAAGTTTTAGAATTTGGACCGTAGTCGGAGCAGTGTGAAGACGGCCTCGGAATGGATTTTCGTTGGTTCCGTTAGCTCCGTTGGATGATTTCGGGTTTAGGAGCGTGTTCGGATTGTGTTTTGGAGGTCCGTAGCTCATTTACGCTTGAAATACCGAAAGTTGAATATTTGAAGTTTCCGGTTCGATAGTGAGATTTTGATATCAGGGTCGGAATGGAATTCCGAAAGTTGGAGTAGCTCCGTAGTGTTGAATGTGACGTGTGTGCAAAATTTCAGGTCATTCGGACGAGGTTTGATAGACTTTTTGATCGAAAGCGTATTTGGAGGTGTTTTGAGGATTTGTATAAGTTTGTTCAGTGGTATTAGACTTGTTTGTGTTTTTGGTTGAGGTCCCGGGGGCCTCGGGGTGATTTCGGATGGTTGACGGAAAGATTGAAAAATTTGGATTGCAGCTGAAGTTTAGGACTGCTGTCATAACCGCATCTGCGGTTGAGAGGCCGCAGGTGCGGAATCAAGTCGCAGATGCGGCCACGTGAGGGAAGGCCAATTTCCGCAGGTGCGGTAGTTTGAGCGCACCTGCGTGAGCGCAGGTGCAGTAGAAGAAGCGCAGGTGTGGCCCAAGGGAATTTAAGTGGAAATCGCAGAAGCGATCCTTTGACCGCAGAAGCGGTCTCGCAGATGCCCAAATTTGACCGCAGATGCAAAATCCCTGGTTAGAAAAGGGGCAGAATCGAGGTTTAAGCCATAATTCATATTTTGGACTTGGGAGCTCGGGAAATTGCGATTTTTGAAGAGATTTTCACCTGGGCGATTTGGGTAAGTAATTCCTACTCGGTTTAGACTAATTCCCATGTATCTACACTTAAATCCGTCCTTTAATTTCGAGTTTATGGTGGAAAATTGGGGAAAAGTTCTTAGACCTAAGTTTCGAGTTTTGATTGGGGATTTGACATTGAATTTGGATAATTTTGGTATGGTTAGACTCGTGAGAGTATGAGGATTCTGAAAATATTAATGTTACCCGATTCCGAGTTGTGGGCCCGGAGGGCGTTTTGGTTGTTTTACCTAATTTCGCGTATTAGCTTAGAATTTATTTAAGGATTCAGTTACTTGAAGTTATATTTACATTATGCAATTGAATTTAATAGATTTGGACCATTTGGAGTCGAGCACTCGTGGCAAGAACGTGGTTTCGGGTTGACTTTCGAGCCGGTTCGAGGTAAGTGGCTTGTCTAACCTTGTGTGGGGGAAACTCCCCTTAGGATTTGGTTTGTTGATAATTGAATTGCCTTGTACGTGAGGTGACGAGTGCGTACTTGAGCTAATTGTTGAAAATCCATTTTTCTTTAAGTAACTATAATGTGATTCCTTTTTTTTTATGTTGATACTACGTGTAATTTAAGCCTGCTATTAGCTTAGGGAAGCATGTTTAATTGACTTAATTGCCTTACTTGCCCAATTTGCCTTATTTGGATTATGTGCAGCATGCTAGGTTAGAAATATCTGTCTTACTTTGGTATGGAAAATTGAATTGAATTGAATATTCTTCGTGTTGTTGCTGTGTGTTTGCTTTGGGACTACGGGCGATACCCCGATAGATCCCCCCTGCACATTTACATTTGGGGACTACGGATCGAGATTCCGGTAGATCCCCGATTGGACTACGGGACGATGACCGGGAGATCCACTGGACATTTACATTTGGGGGCTACAGGACGGTATCCTGGTAGATCCCCGGTTTGCTGGTATTTACATTTGGGGGCTACAGGACGGTATCCTGGTAGATCCTCGGTTGCCATTTCTGTGTTGAGCTGTATTCTTTCTGCGTTATTTTCTCGGTTGTAATTGTTGTTATCTGTAGCATTATAATGTGTTACTTTTTACTGTTGCACTTAAGTATACCGTCTTACTCTACACTGTTATATCTTGTATTTCCTTTAACCTCAGTAGGGCCCTGACCTTCATCGTTACTACCCGATCGAGGCTAGGCTTGGAACTTACTGAGTACCGCTGTGGTGTATTCATGCCCTTCCTGCGCATGTTTTTCATGTGCAGATCCAGGTACTCCCACTCAGACTTATCACGCTTGAGGCGAGGCATTTTGTAGAGACTCCGAGGTATATCTGCCGCGTCCGCAGACCGAAGAGTCCCTTTCTATTCTCAGTACTAGTATAGACCTTTCTGTATTTTTCTCTTGTAGGTAGACATTCTGGAGTTAGAGCTTATTATGTGATCTTTTAGCTTGTGATTCATAGGGTTCCGGATTTTGGAAGTGTTAGTTGAGATTTTGTACTGTTATATGCCAGGCGGCATCTTAAACACTGTTTAACCTTGTTATGTCGGTTTTTAATTACTTTCTTCCGCAATTTGTTTCTTTTTCCGCATTTGTCAGGCTACCTAGTCGTAGCGACTAGGTGCCATCACGACAGTTCATGAAGGGCGAACTGGGGTCGTGACAATAGTGGTCCAATAAAATAAAACCATAACTTAAATATATCATACGGATGGTCTTTTGGATGTAATGAACAGAGGTCAGGTGGAATGTCCCCCTTGTTATGTGCTCTTTTTGCTGTGGTTATATAAAAGGAAGGCGCCACCTAAAGGCGTAAAATTTTAGAGAAGAAAAATCATAATCCCGAACTTATAAATTTCAAATTCTGAATCCACCTGTGTTATAACTGCAACGAAGTAATTATACGTCCTAACAGACAACACAAGAATATTTTTTATCTTAGCTTGGGAATCCAAGTGTGTGGTTAATTATAAAACATAGATTCAAGGGGGGGGGGGGGTGCATTACACTAAGGGCTGAAAGAAAAACTACTTGTCATTACCCAAATTGCCCCTAAGATATATGTAAAGTACTCTCTCTGTTGATAGGCAATTTAGTCCAAACAAAAATTACAACGGCTATCTACTGGAACATAGCCGTTGGAAGGGTTTTTACACTGATGATGCAAACCCTAGATTAATCCTTGTGGTGACGACGAGAACAAAGTATTTTTCAATAGAAAAAACAAATCCAATCGCTCATATATATACCCATTAATCAACTGAAGAGAGACTCATCAATCAACTCCCTCTCTCTCTCTCTCTCAAGCAACCAGCAAGCGATCTCATTCTCATCATTTCTACATTATATATATTCTGCTTTATTATTGTATAATAATTTTTTCATTTGAATTTGTTAGTCTATAACCTGATTTTAGTTTTGCAGGCTTTGTCAATAAAGTTTTCTGATTCACAACGCAACACAAGATTATCACTCAGCTTCTGTCTTTCTTAGTTTTGTTTTTGTCTTCTTTTTTTTGTGCTAACGAAATGGATGCAGGATCGTACTCAGCCTCATCAAATAAGAAACAATCTCGTTGCCCTCTCCAGGAACAACTTCTTCAACGTAGAAATTCTCGTGAAAATGTATGTCTACTCACCTCTAACTATTCTCTCTAATTGTTAGTATTAATTAATTGTTCCAATTTGTGTAATTAGATGGGTAAAAGGGAATTTTTTTTAAAAAAAAGGAGGAGATGGGTTTTCATTTACTTTGCCATTTTTGCTTTTAATCTGATAGACCCAGGTGCGGATGTAGGCTTTAAGATATGGGTTCGGCAAAACCCAGTAGCTTTGGCCTAACTCCTGTATATGTGTTAGGAAATCCACCAAAAATGTACAAAAAATTCAATTCAAAACAAGTTACTAGCAATTAAGTTCTCTGTCCTAGAATCCATAAATTTCAAATCCCGGGTCCTCTTCTGGATAGACCATTTGAGCTCGAGCATTATTTAGCTTGATTGATTATGCCCTCTTTTCTTGTGTCAATTTCTGTTTTTTATTTTTCTTTGGGGGGAGGAGGGGGTGTTTGAAAGTTACAAGCTCTATTTTTTCATTTCTTTTGGATGAAAACATGAATATCTCACCAACTGCCTTTTTCTTGTTTTGTGTAACAGTTGGATAGGTTTATTCCAAATCGATCAGCGATGGATTTCGACTATGCACATTACATGCTGACAGAGGCCGGAAAGAAAGGTAAGGAAAACCCAGCTGCCAGCTCTCCCTCCAGAGAGGCATACAGAAAGCAGCTTGCAGAAACCTTCAACATGAACAGGTCGCGCATTCTGGCGTTCAAGAACAAACCACCCACTCCTGTTGAGGCAATTCCTAATGAGTTTGCCTCTGTTCAACAACCCAAATCTGCAAAACCCCGTCGACACATTCCTCAGGTTGGAAACATAATCTGCACCAAAGATTACATTTTTATCTGTTTACTATATGACAAGTTTTTAATGGTTTCTTTCAATTGGTTTATATGCAGACCTGTGAGAGGACATTGGATGCTCCAGATATTATGGATGATTACTATTTGAATTTGTTAGACTGGGGCAGCAGCAATGTTCTTTCTATTGCTCTTGGCAGCACTGTATATCTGTGGGATGCATCTGATGGTGCTACTTCAGAGCTGGTCAGTATTGATGAGGAAAATGGCCCTGTTACAAGTGTTAAATGGGCTCCTGATGGTCGACATATTGCTGTTGGTCTTAACAATTCTGAAGTTCAGCTTTGGGATTCTACAGCAAATCGACTCGTATGTTCCTTTAAATCTTGTGCTTTTATTGTTTTCACCTAATATTCTTGCTGCTAATATTTATGCTTTCATTTGTTGGTGCAGCTGAGAACTTTGAAAGGTGGTCACCGATCCCGAGTTGGTGCTCTAGATTGGAACAACCACATTTTGACAACAGGTGGAATGGATGGTCAAATCATAAACAATGATGTGAGAATAAGATCACCTATTGTTGACACTTACCAAGGCCATGATCAAGAAGTCTGTGGTCTAAAATGGTCAGCTTCTGGCCAGCAATTAGCTAGCGGCGGAAATGACAACTGTCTCAACATATGGGACAGTTCAATGGCTTCTTCAAACTCTACAACACAGTGGCTTCACAGGCTTGAAGATCATACAGCTGCTGTTAAAGCCTTAGCTTGGTGTCCTTTTCAGGGTAACTTATTAGCCTCGGGTGGTGGTGGAAGTGACAGGTGTATTAAGTTCTGGAATACACACACTGGTGCCTGCTTGAATTCTGTTGATACAGGATCTCAGGTTTGTTCCCTTATATGGAACAAGAACGAACGAGAGCTACTAAGTTCTCATGGTTTCACTCAGAATCAGCTTACTCTTTGGAAATACCCTTCAATGGTAAAGGTAGCTGAGCTTACTGGTCACACCTCAAGAGTACTTTTCATGGCTCAGGTAAATTCTTGTGATCTTTGTACACATTTCTTGTGCAGTCAGTGCTTGTTATTTATTTTCTTGTTTATCGGTTTTGCAGAGTCCAGATGGCTGCACAGTTGCATCTGCAGCTGGAGATGAAACTCTCAGATTTTGGAATGTATTTGGGACTCCTGAAGTTGCAAAACCTGCACCAAAGGCAAACCCTGAACCATTTGCTCACCAAAGGCAAACCATGATTCGCTGAATGACAATGGAACAAACATTACATGCCTGGTGATTTCTGTACAGTCTTATCAATACAAATAATACTGGAGCAAAGACTGCTGACTGAAGAAGGCAACTGTGAATTCATTTCTAACTTAACAATCTGTATTAGATCCTAGACCAGATCAACTGCTGTATGTAGAACATATTTTTATTTTATTTTTTATTTATGATCAGCAAGATCAGATTTGTCTGCGACAATTTGGACCTGATCTCACCTATAGTGACAAAGGGCCTGTCCAGAAATATTACCTTCAATTCCCCTTGTACAGTTACCGGATGATAATTCAGTATTTCTCAATATAAAAACATGATGATTTTGAAACTATTGAAGGTTTGTTATCCTAGATGCAATTCAACCGACTCTTTATCGCCTTTTTTCTTTATTAGTGAAACTTCGAGTTACTCAGCCTTTGATCATATTTTTTGTTAAGTAACTAGTTTATCTAAATTTCCTCCCATCTAAATTAGCAAGTATCCTCCCAACTTTCATTTACAGGTCCCCGTCGCCTTTTCTTATGTATTTTCCCACACTTGGCCTTATTTTGCATTTGGCTTTTTAGCTTTCATCTGGAATCACAAACGAAAGGAAAATGAAGGTAAAAGCGTTTTCTGTATGAATCTCTCATTTTCGTAAAATTTAACCTATACCCACTTTTTAAAAAAGTTTTAACCTGTACCCACCATTTAAACAACTTCAGGCCTCTTTCTCCTCCTCCTTCTCCTCCTTCGTTTCTGAATGCTGAAGATTGAGATATTGTTATGCGACCCTGATGATTCATATATGTTTGTCATGTTCAGTTTGGTCTTATTCACAATAATTTACCTCTTAGATATTTTAGCTTTACAGGCACATTGGTTTTTGGTTCTAATTTATCTGAAGTAACTTATTTTCATGTCGAAAATATTTTGCATTCTTTAATCTTTGAAATGAACAGCATCAATCGCTGCTATCTATTAAATTCATTGTTGTTTTTAGAACTTCAGCATTCTTATTAGAATGCTGAAGTAAGAATGCTGAAGTTCAGCAAATATAAACAAAAACTTCAGCTCCTAGAATGATGAAGTTCAGCAAATACAAAACAAACTTCAGCCCTGAAGTTCATCACAAACAGAACAAAGCTTCAGCTAAAACATGCTGAAGTTCAGCAAATACAGAACAAAGCTTCAGCTACTAGAATGCCGAAGTTCAGCAATTATAAACAAAAACTTCATCCAACGCATGTTGTTTTATTGAACTGAAGTTTGCCATTTGCAATATGAACTAAAGTTTGTGTGATTGCCTTTGCAAGTCAGGTCAAACTTCATGCAAAAATATCTGAAGTTTGCTACACTTCAGGCAAAAATTTTTGCTACTTCAGGCCGGTATGCCTGAAGTTACGCGAAAAGTGAGTACGCTTGCAATTTTTTTTGCAAAGCGGGTATAAGTTAAAACGTGACCCAAAAAGCGAATATAGATGCAAATGCCCGCTCATTTTCCTTCACTCTTGGCCTTGTTAGCATGGGCCTGGCGACGGAGCCAAGATTACAAGCTTATGGGTTCGGGCTTCTATCGTTTCAACTTATTGGGTTCTAAATTCATAATTTATACATATTTTAATGGATTTTTAAGACAATACAAGGTTCATCAAGCTATTGAGTTCGGCTGAACCCACTCCCGCACTCTAGCTCCGCCCCTGCCTATAAGATCATAACTCCATCAATTCGATTTTTTTTGGAAATTCAACTGCTGCTGCTGCTTGACTGTGACTCCTTCATATTCTAATTTTCTGCCAGAGTAGGGTGAAAATCCACTATAGGTTGAGTTTACAACAGAAGGAAAGCCAAATTAATATACATAAATGATTTATCAATGCATGTTTGGTTCATTCATGGGGCTGTTGCTGCTCCAAACCATACAGTCAAGCTTTATAGCCACCAACTTACCATTCTTTAAATCTATTCACCTTGCATCCAGCATATCTGTAAGAGCAGTACTATCTCAAGTTCCACCTAAATATAAATTCATTTCTCGAGTCTAAATTTTCCTTGCCAACCTTCATTCCATGGCTTCAAGGACAAGATAAGCTACTTTATCCAGGAAACTGATTCTGAAGTTCAAGTAGGTGAAGACATTGGTGACAGCTCTCCGCATTGCTCTACCTCACAATCCAACCCAGTGAAACTATAGCGAGAAACATTACTAATTATAGTACAAGGAACTACAAACTTCGTAGGAGTATGTTGCATTGTTGGATTACATACAAACTGCACCTCCAGATACATGTTGTAAGGCTACAAATTTCCGACAAAACTCAGGTATCACTACCATTGGAGTTCAAAAAAAGCAAATGAAAAAACAAAAAAATTGTATGATATAGCTCACAAAGGGGAGCAAATGGTTCACATACAGAAGACGATTCTTCACCCTTCACACCTCCAGTCCTTGTGTTTATACAAGTTCTAGGGACAATCATGTAGATATGCGTCTCATGTAAGTATCTTCATGCACAAAAACTGGTTCCTGACTGGTCTGTGGAGGAATTTGTGGGTGTCCCATCGCAATGCCACCTTGACTTGGTACTGGTGGATGCCATGGATCGTTGATGTTCTTTGCAGATACCAAGGAAATATAATAGATGATTCCAAGAGCAACACTGGCAAGGGACAAGACAGCAGCTCCAGCAAATACTCCAGGCTTTACAACATAGCAATAGTAGTTGCCAAAGTAAAGGCTCTCTTCACCATGCTGATCATTCAGTGCTGCGCCCGTCAGCAATAAGAGAAATGCTATGACGAATGTAAACCTGCATTAGCGGCAAGTTTTGGAGACCTTTATTTAGGCTTCTTCAGATGGTAAGTAAAATCTAATTGATCCACTGGCTCCACCAGAGAAATAACCTTTGATAATGCAATGACCAAAATAAATGCAAAATTAGAAGAAGAAAAAACTGTTGCTTTGAGGGGAAACGACATCTCAAGATCCAGATAAATTTTGAGGATCAAAGTCATCAGCTAGACCACATTTCTGGACTCACAGCAAGATATCTTCTGACCTAATAGTCTAATACATACAGCAAAGATTAACCTACAAGGACTACTTATAAAAGAAGAAAAAAAAAAAGATTAATCTACAAGGACTACTTATCAAAAAAAAAAGATTAATCTACAAGGACTACATACCCAGAAGTTTGAAGAGGTTGAGGATGAAAAAAAGGGAGGAGAGAAAAGGAAGTAGGCTCCTGCCCATTCCCCATGCACATCACTACCTTAAAGCTTCTTGCATTTGTAGAACCAGCAAGGTACTATCGGGTGATGAAATGTTAAAGGAACGAAGCATCCCGCAGGGTCTGGGAAAGAGCCGCACCCCAAGGGGTGTGATGTAGGCAGCCTACACGGCTCGAACCCGTGACCTATAGGTCACACGGAGGCAACTTTACCGTTGCTCCAAGGCTCCCCTCAGGGTGGTGAAATGTTAAAAACAATATTTACATAAACAGAAGTTAAATCCTAAACTACCATGAACAAGAGGTAGCTTGAGTCCGAAACGCGGGTACGTCTTCAATGAAAGGCTTCGACTGTTATATATTTTTAATCGGATTAATTACTGTCCTTTAAAAGAGGGGGGGAAAAGGCCAATACCGTTCAATACTCATATCCACTAGCCACAACAAATGCTAAAATCTTGATACTTCCAAGAATTACAGAAAAAGTTTGTAAATGCAGTTGTTACAAGTACATGAGCCAGCATTACAAATGTAAGGCGTTTTTTTTGTCTTCACCAACGTTGATAGATATTTTATCATACTTCTATATATAAGACAGAATAGGTCTAACCTTCTTTGGTCAAGATTTGAACATCCTAAAGTAAATATCAGAAAAATTTAAAATAGTGATTGGTTTAAATTAATAGTGATGTCAAATGGCTTTTTCCTTTCTCAAAAATTACAATAAAAATGGTGATGTGAAATGGACAACATCGCAGAGTAAGCTTGTCAAATTCTGAATGTGGGAATAACAAAGGTCTATTTTGACTTTGGCTGCAAATATATAAGGTCTCTCTTCCCAACACAAAAAGGCAGGAATTCCGTAGAAACTACAGGACAACAATTATCTGCTATTCGGGTCAGCCCAATTACAATGATATGAAGAAACAAATAAATACCTTTTGATCTAAATGTATTGCAATAATGACTACTGAACTTGAAATTAGTTATTAGTTCATAACCAACTTACCAGGATACAACAAAACATAGTAGTGCTAGTGACTGATTAGATCCTGATTGATATTGACGGCAACAGACACATCCACTTGCTACGTTGACAATTATTTGAGCAACCATAAGAGCCACAGCAGCAGCCAATCCAAGGCCCAGTGCAGGACTCCTTGGATATACACATTCTGAAGGAGAGGGAAACTGGACCTGAGAACCCTGAAGAATAATTGAATAGTACTATGAATTAGTCATGCCGACTCTCTATGCAAGGATAACGCAAACTCTCTTTACCCCTATATTCTAAGGACTCAAAATTCCCAACAGCAAACATGAAATGCTAGTAACTTTAATCCTGTGACAATCCTTAGCGAACGAAATTCAGCATGCAACCAAACAACCATAAAAGATCTGTTTTCTTAGTCCGTGATTCCATGTGCGCTCTCTCCATCTACCAAGCCCACCTTATAAAACTCCTCCAACGTATTTATGAATGGTAGCAGGGCAATGGGTGATATGATCTGAAAGCCAATATAAGTAAACAATCTCCTCCACTCTCCACTGTTATGTGCCAATTGTCCCATATGGATCAAAAAGGAGAAATACTAACGGATTTATAGGCCAAATGGGCTCTCCCACCTAATAGATTAGTCTTTTGGGTTGGATTCTCCTGTTTGGTCTATAACATCCCCTAAAAATTTTAAAATTCCCTCCGCCCTAAAATACCTCATCCATAGGCCTGTTGTATGGGATGGGGGAGAAAGTCAGCAGGTTGTTACTCCTGGAAGAGAGTGACGCCCAAGGTGCAATTTCTGCCCAGGTTTGAACATTCAGAAACCATGTAAATTCAGCTGAATGTGCCCAGACTGAACCCAAAGAGTTTTGCTAAGACGAGCAATTTAAACATAAGAATCCAGGCTTTAACAGTTGCACTAGAAATGATGTGGGTTTGCTTAAATTGGCAATCACATGAACGCTAAGTTCTACTAGGAACAAACATTGCAAGAGCAGAATGGAGTTTCAGCTCAAATTTGACCGCACCTAATTTCCCTAAAAAAATTGAAACTTTAATTTCGTGGGAGCAGCTTGGGATGATATCCTTACAGCTGATAATCAGAGGACCAGCAAGAGACCATATGGAAGCCTGGTGTTAA